CTACCTCGTACTGACTACCTGGTACTGACTACCTCATACTGACTACCTCGTACTGACTATCCTGTACTGACTACCTCATACTGGCTACCTCGTACTGACTACCTCGTACCGACTACCTCGTACTGACTACCTCGTACTGACTACCTCGTACTGACTACCTCATACTGACTACCTCGTACTGACTGCTTCGTACTGACTATCCTGTACTGGCTACCTCAGCCACCATTACAAGAGACGCCTCATAAGAGAAACGGAAATGTGCACGCGTACTGAGCTGTCGTCAATCCGGGCGCCGCGATGTGAGCTACCTCGCCTGGTCTACAGGAGGTCGTGGGTTCGACCTCGCCTGGTCTACAGGAGGTCGTGGGTTCGACCTCGCCTGGTCTACAGGAGGTCGTGGGTTCGACCTCGCCTGGTCTACAAGAGGTCGTGGGTTCGACCTCGCCTGGTCTACAGGAGGTCGTTCAACCTCGCCTGGTCGACAGGAGGTCGTGGGTTCGACCTCGCCTGGTCTACAGGAGGTCGTGGGGTCGACCTCGCCTGGTCTACAGGAAGTCGTGGGGTCGACCTCGCCTGGTCTACAGGAGGTCGTGGGTTCGACCTCGCCTGGTCTACAGGAGGTCGTGGGTTCGACCTCGCCTGGTCTACAGGAGGTCGTGGGTTCGACCTCGCCTGGTCTACAGGAGGTCGTGGGTTCGACCTCGCCTGGTCTACAGGAGGTCGTGGGTTCGACCTCGCCTGGTCTACAGGAGGTCGTGGGGTCGACCTCGCCTGGTCTACAGGAGGTCGTGGGTTCGACCTCGCCTGGTCTACAGGAGGTCGTGGGTTCAACCTCGCCTGGTCTACAGGAGGTCGTTGGGTCGACCTCGCCTGGTCTACAGGAAGTCGTGAGGTCGACCTCGCCTGGTCTACAGGAGGTCGTGGGGTCGACCTCGCCTGGTCTACAGGAGGTCGTGGGTTCGACCTCGCCTGGTCTACAGGAGGTCGTGGGGTCGATCTCGCCTGGTCTACAGGAGGTCGTGGGTTCGACCTCGACCCTGACGACGCCTTCTGCTGCTGCTGTCGATGTGGAGTCTGATTGTTTTCTCTCTCCCCGTGGCCCCGTGGGTTTTTCTCCGGGGTTCTCCAGTTTCTCTCCTCCACATTTATAACACGACGTAACACAATTTGTGTTTATGGGTACTAAGTGTTATTTTTTTATTGCTTATGCCTAGAAAGTATAGAAAACGGCTATTATTCCCCACAAACTTTGTATTTGTGACCAGGACGAAGACCGCCCAATCCCCGGGCTGAATAAGCCAGCTTCGCTTCCCAGATCTGAGCGAACGAATGAATGGAAACATCGCAGATTTGAGAAGCGCGCCCGTCCTGCCGTGAGCCTTCCGAAGTCAGCAGAGGGAGGGAGAGAGGCACGGTTCGAGTCTGGTCTGGGGCGAGTGACGGAGATTACCACGTCTCCGATTCTGGTCTGGTGATCTTGTCGGGGAAAGCGCTGTTAGCGAGCACCTATGAAGGTCGGCACGGCACACGATGGGGTGGGTGGCCAGCACCAACGCCCGGCCGCCTTTGTCTCCCCAGTTGGCGATGTTTACGCACCGCAACCAGGCACTCATTTGAGGCCGAGTCGATCTAGGCGAGGCCCAGGACCGATTCAGATAATTGTCACCGGTGTTGACCGTGAGCGGGAATCGAACCGCGTTCGCCGGGTTTGTAGCGCAGCGTAGCGCTAACCGCTGCCCCACCGCTCCTCCACACACAGCCCAAGCCTTTGGCTCACACGCGCACGCCTCATCGCACCGGAGCGGACACGCACAACTCCGAGCTCGCACTCCCCTTTGCACCTTCACCCCTGCCCGCACCGCCTTGCTTCGTGACAATGTTTACTTACACATATGCCTTGCACACAGCCCCCATAACCCCTCCCTGTACAGGCAGACGCAACGCGGTACGCACGATCAAGACACGATGGCGTCACGTGGATTTGACGATGGATGCGACTGGTGGCGGGGAGCGAGCAGCAGAGTCCCGAGACCCCCCCCCCCCCCCCCCACAGCCTCACCTTTCCCCTCGACGCGCTCCACGGTGCGGCTCCACACCACCTGACGACTCCGCATGTCCACCTGCAGGGTTCGCTTCTCGGGCCGGGCGGAGCGGCGGAACAGCGTGAGCACGGAGCCCAGCTGGAGATGGCTCAGCATGGAGTTCGCGCCCTGCTGTTTGGGGGAGCGCCACATCGTGGTGCGCGGTGGCGGCGGGGATCTTCGAGTTCACGCAACCTACACCCCCCCCTCCCCCCCCACGCCGGTTCCTCTGCTTCGGGTGGGGGGCTGCGTGCGTGTGACACACACGGAGGGGGGCGCACACAAAGGGGGTCCCCCGAGACTCTGCGATGAGCGCCACCCACCCCTGGGGTGGGTTTGGAGCTGTGCGCGCTCGCCGTGTCGCCTCAACCCCCTAGCTGGGAGCTGCGGGGCAATGCGAACACTTCCTGCTGCCTGGC